GGGGACAAATCTGTCATCAGTCAAGATACCCACGCAACCCAGAGAAGATCCTGCTTCTGAACTAACCGAATCCCACGCCTCAGTGTCACAGAGCTGGGGGCTGGGGGGGGGGGGGGGGGGGGGGGGGAGGGGGCGGTCAACTTCCTCCTGCTCAGGCTGCAGCCCTGGGGGTACTGGAAAAGGAACTTTCAAAACACTCATGCGGGTCGTGTCGGGTCAGCTCAGCAAGGTGGATCTGAAACTCAGCCCAAGGAACACACTGGAGGCTGGGGGCTCCCCAGAGCTCCTGCGTGTTACATTTTCCTGGAACTTTTCATCCACCCTGACTCAGAAAGGAAGGGTGAAAGGGAGAAGCTAATTTGTAGGAAGTCCTCACCTTGCTTCAAGGGGAAACCCAAGGTTGCAGATACATGATCTGGCAGCTGGAGAGGGTACCTGGGGGTGGCGTCTTTGTGGCAGCCTTAGCACGGCCACAGGCCCTTAGGACGTGTTTTATGGTGAAGAAAACAGCTAATAACAGCAGCCAGCATTAAGTGCTTGTTACTGGTTAAAACCTTACACACATGACATAGTGCCACCCTCATGACAACCTATTATAAACCCCATTTTATAGATGACGAAAGTAGGGCTCCAAGGTGAAGGGACTATCCCAGAGTCACGTGGATAGTGTGTGGTGGGGCTGGGATTTGAACCAGGTCTGTTGGCTCCAGAGATGGAGTTCTTAACCACACCGCACAATTAAGCAAGACCACAAAGGATGGGGGAGAACCCGGAGGGGAAGCTGTGTGGGTGAGTGTGAGTGTGTGTGCAAGGGATCACACAGCAGACGGCTCAAGCTAGAGACCAAAGGTGGAGTGCAAAACTTCTGGGAAGTGACAAGCATTCCTCCTCCAACCAGAAAAGGGAGCTACTGTGTGGGCCTACCCTGGGTCACGGGGGGATGTGAAGAGGTCAAAACCCCACAGGGGCAAACAGGACCTATCACACCAAAGCACTGCGGACTCTCTTGAAAAATAACAAGGCACTGCAGCTGTTCCTGCCATGGGACAGGCCAGAGGTTTGCTCCAGAATGGTGAGAATGCAAAGAAAGGCAGGGGTACATGGGGAGGGGGACAGGGACCTGCCAGAGTCAGAG